TTGTCTTCTCTTATCTGAGAACTTGTCTGAGGTAGCACAGGAGTTCATGGCCTGGTCCAACGTATTCATGATCCTATCCACACAGAAGATCACACATTAAATTTGGTGTTTGCCTTGAGGTAGTGGTGCCATGATTTGGATTTGTGGGATATTAACATCAGTCCCTTGCCATGGACTGAACTCTCTCTCTTGGCTCTAGAGTTCTCCACAGCTACCCCCCACTGCAGGTGCTTGATGGACCTAATGCAGTTTCAGAGAGAGTTTGGGGTTTTCCTTGAAGCTCTGGCACACAGTTTGGCACAGTCCCTTGTTGCAGCTTGGAATGAGCAAATGATGGGACTGAATTGTACCTGTGCAGACTCTCTGTGTACATAGATCTCATACAGCACCATGGTTTACTGAGCAGATTACACAAGAGACAGCTAGAGTGACATTGGAAAAAGACAAAGAGTGAGGCCAACCAAGCACAGGTAAGAGCTGATATTAGGACTTACTTTGTGGCAATGAGGCTGATGAATCATATTTACTTCTCTGCTCTTATTGCATATGCAGATAGCCACCCAGTGGCCCTGTTTTAGGTGACCAGGTCCCTCCTAGGTGAGGAGGAGTCAGGGAGCTCTTGCAAGGCTGCTGTGAGGAATATTCTCAGTATCTGTTGCTCAACTTTGCTCAGAGTTGGACTCTGGCTAGGCAGATCCTTTTGAAGTAACTGAGACGCGTCTGAGCCCTGTTATCTGAGAGGAGTTTGAGCCAGTTGATCTGAGGAAGTGGACAGGATTCTTGTAGCTCTGAGCTTAGCCGCCTGTGTTCTGGACCCATGGCCCTCCTGAATGGTAAAGGGCTTTTTCTAATCTTCCTATCCAGGGCTTTCAGTTCAGCTTGAGTCCAGTCTATATTCCAGCTGTATATCTAATGACTGGAATTGCCCAGGGTGTTAATTGCCTTGATGGTATTTCTGTCCCTGAGCTACTTCTGGCAAGGCTTCAATTTCTTTGCCCTGGGTAGACCTTTGCAATTCTTTCAG